TAAGTATAGTCAACCACTAATGATTGTACAAATAGCTTTTTTGAATTAAAATATCATTTACTGTTCACGTGTATGTGTATTTATATAGGGAAACAAGTCGTTAAAAATTATTTTGTCCAAAACACCCGAACTCCTCAACAATCTACTTATCGAAATACCCATTTCCATTGTTACAATGTATTTCGCTTTTCTTGGTTTGAAAATTTGAGGGTAATTTTGAAATATGGAAATGAGAATTGCTACACAGTGGATGATTCCAATGTACACTCCCCTCACAAGAAGGGGACCCAAGACCCAATAAAATAAAATCGTGGACCTTATATTGTGAGGGAGACTGTATATTTAGGTGTCACCCGTAGCAAAACTAAATTTTAGTATGTAATCATACAATTCAAAGTCAAAATTCTTGGTTTGAAAATTCACCTCCTCCGGTAGTGAAGGACATGGGGTCCCACAGCGGTAGAAATTTTTTTGGAGCACTCTCATTATAATGGGGATCAAACCTGCGTAGTTAAAAATTGTGCGTTCTATAAAATATGAGAATAAAATTAATTATTGATTTTAACTTAAATTAAAATTTGAATTTTAATCCCTATTAAACAGATGTTTAGATTGCATTTGACGAATTAATATAAAATTATAATGAATATAACTAAGTAGACGTTATTAAGACAGCAAGATAGATAGTAAAGTGGTGGGATAAACAATTTAAGCTATTAAATGTTAAAATAGAGTGAGCAAATGTCAAAAATCTAAATTTTTGAAGTAGTTATGAACTTGTTGACATCGAAAAGAAATTAATTAATTCAATTTTGTGGTCAACTATTTGTATAATCATAAAATATTTGAAGTGATCACGATATTTTGAGATATGAGACGGAGATCAAAGACGTGTGTTTTTCAATTCAACACGTTGCAATTATGATCAATCTAGTGCACTAACTCGTCCAACTTGATACCCTCGATCCCCGCACGTTTTTTTAATGTTGTTGTAGTCAAATGTTTATGGTGTTTTAATAAGCCCAACTTGTCACAAAGTTTTCATTATTAAAAACTAGACTATCTAGCTTATGGTGGAAAGCTTTAGGCCTTTAGTTGTTATCACTTATGAAGGGTAATTAAGTCATTTATACTTGTTAAATTTCATGAGATTTCTCGACACTTTGTCTAAGACTTGATTTGGTGTTAGTGTATGGCAGTGGGTCGTATTTCGTGTCAACTCGCTTCGACTAGTCCAAAATCTTGAGTCCGATATCTGTTATTGCAGGTAGACAGTGAATCATGTTGCTTTATCAATCCTAAAATGGGAATAAAACACACCATGTTCTTGCCTCATGGGCGTGCATTAGAAAAAGGTGCGTTTATTAAGCTAGGTGCGAGATATTCGAGACGGGCCAAAGTAGTGGTGGCTAAAAGAGGCTTGGGGTTTGTCCTAACTTAGTGTCCAGCATCTTGGGATGTTAAAATTGAGTCCCCATGCTAGACCGTCCTAGAGTTGAAATTTTGATGAAATTAAAGTAATGTAAATGAATAGGAGGATTACGAAGTAAACCTATTCAACCTGCATTAGTTTGGAAATCTTAATAAAAATCTTGATATAATAATCTTATATAGCTCAATAATCATATATACTTTTGTCTAATAATTCTCAGTCATTTGTTTGATGGAAATTAAAATTAATTTTTTTAGTAGATTTTGATAAAAAAAAAACGATGAAATGTATAGTTAAAAAGTCGTGGATTTCATTAAATATATTATTAAAATTAATTATTGACTTTGACTTAAATTAGAATCTAAATTTTAACCCCTACCAAACAAGGACTTAGTGTTTTTAATCCAGGACTTAACCGTCATCCCTCGTTTATTTCCCAATAATCGCATCCACGAAGATGGTAAATTTATTCTCATTTCTTCTCTTAGTCTTTTCTTTCTTTACCTACTCCAAAGCAGCACAAACTCATGACCTAAATACAGTCATAACGCTCAAATCCAACTAGGTAGAAAAACAACTCGTATTTCATTGTCTCTTTATGTAATATATAAGCATGTGCACGTGCATGTTTTTTTTTTCCTTCGATTTTCTTTGTTAATACATAGTACCTGGTTGTAAATCAGAGTTGAAGAAGCTGTTCTTACACTGAAAATCAAAACAAGTTGTTCCTCTTCATCATACACCAGAGATAAAGTTAGTCTTTGCATTTGATAACGCCTATGGCTACAGGGTAAAGTAGCATCTATTCTATGAAGTGATAATATTCACATTAAAGGCCTGTTTGGTACACATTATTTTTTTCATTCTCATTCTTCTACTCATTTTCAATCACACATTTTTCATAACTTACTCGATATTTGGAATTTTTGGACAAAACCAGTGAGGTTTGATAGCCTCATGGATTAGTTACTGAATAAAGTTGAAATCATGTCGATCCAACATCTATAGAATTTTATATGTCATTTTAAGTAAGTTGCGCTGGGTTACCTTCCAAACCGAGTCGCTGTGGGGTTTTGAAAAATATTTAATATCTCATAGGTTGCCGACGGAAGTTGATTTTTGGATATGACATATTATAAAGAATTTCATAATTTACTATAAAATATCATGAAGTTTCGAGGTTGATAGCTATGCAAACGAATTTATTTTTGACAATTGCCGTATGAGATAGAAATAGCGGTGGCAACGAGCCGAGCCGAGCCGAGCCCGAGCGGGGAAAAAAAGGCTCGGGCTGAGCCCGAGCTTTTTTCGGCCCGAGCCGAGCCAAGCCGGGCCCGGCCAAAAAAAATGAGGCTCGGCCCGAGCCTTAGTGGGCCGAGCCGGCTCG